ATATATATATATATATATACTATAATATATGCATGGGGGTCACTGGAAAAGATGGTAGCATTTCGTGCTCTAAAATCTTTATGTACTTTTCAAAATTAATGGTACCCTTACAGAAGTGTAATTTACATTTTCCAATTGCACTGACACAACCCCATACCATGACAGACACTGGCTTTTGCTGGAAACAGGCTGGAGGATTCTTTTCTTCTTTGGTCAATGGCGCTTCTGGACACTGTTAACATAGGGCTTCCTTTCGACATAGTACAGTTTTAACTGATATTTGTGGATGTTACCACATTAGTGGTACTTGACAATAGTTTGCTATTGTAGTCTGGAGCCCATGTGCTGATTTCACTTTTGAATGAATGACGATTCTTTATGCAGTGCCGCGTGATGGATCAAAGATCACGGTTGTTCAGCTTAGGCTTGCCCCCTTGTCCTTTACGCACTGAAATTCCTCCAGATTCTTTGAATCTTTTAATGATGTTATGCACTGTAGAAGGTGAAATATCCAAATGTCTTTCTGTCTTTTTTTGAGGAACATTATTGTTAAACATTTCAGTTATTTTCTCATGTATTTGTTGGCAAACTGGCGATCATCAGCCCATCTTTGCTCCTTAAGGACTAAACCTATCTTGGATGCTGCTTCTCTACCAAATCATAATTACAATCACCTGTTGCCCTCACCTGTTTAAAATCAAATCATTTACTAACCAATTTACCTGATTACCAGCCCTAAACGGCTCCTGTCCCAACTTCTTTGGAATGAGTTGCAGGTCTGAATGACAGTTGTGTTTACATTGTCTGCAATGAAATACAAATCAAAGTAAATTTGGAAATCACTACTTTTATTTCCATTTTCCACAATGTCCCAACTTTTTCAGAATCCTGGTTGTAATAACAACCTTTATTTAACCAGGTAAGTCAATTGAGGCCCAGTTCCTAAAGGCAACATTATAGATGTACGAGGCAGTAATGACACAATACTATAACAATTACACGAATGCTGATAATAACATGTAGAACA